AATATTTTTTCAAGGGTCCACCTAAGGCGTGGATTTTTTTAAAGAATATTTTTTCAAGGGTCCACCTAAGGCGTGGATTTTTTTAAAGAATATTTTTTCAAGGGTCCACCTAAGACGTGGATTTTTTTTAAAGAATATTTTTTTTCAAACCCATTTGACGTTTGTAGTTTTTCCAAAAGCCAACATCAGAAAAAAAACCTATTTTATTATATTTGACGTATGAGTAATATGTGATTATGTACCAATAAATAATATCAATCATACGACCCGTTATAATTGTATAGCTTTTATTTTTTATATGCAATTGTTTATATAGGATATTTTCGTTAAATTCTAATCTTTTTACTAAGGATTCCATTTCATTTCCACCACGTTATATTGTCATCCTGCCAGTTGCCTGTATTTATTACAATGTATGTAAATGTGATAACACAAAAACAGAAAACAAGGCCACATGATTTGACTTATGAAATGCACAGCAACAACAACGAATATTTAAACAAATATTATATGCTACAGTTTTTGTTGTGGTTGTTGTTTCTGGCTTGGTTCGTGATGTGATCAGCAGTGGCACAATTTAATGATAATCGCAACAACTAAAAACTACACAACAATGTAATGTGTAAATTACACTAATAATACAAATAAAAGCAACAAAAACAAAGAAAAGCTACTAAGCAGCGCTACTACATAAGATGGTGTTGCCGACTATGTAAGGACTCCTACACCAGCCAGCATATTTTGAAGGTGTATTCTTAGTCTAAAATATAGTTAAGAGGTTCTCATTGAATCTAAAGGATTCCTATACAGCTAGAAGTCCTTTAGATCTTTATATTTTTATAATAGACTACATCCGATTTTTATCAAGCTTAATCTTGAATCACGTTCGTATCTGAATATAATGAGCCGACGATATATTGAACATTTCGATATAGTGAACACCATTTTTCTCGTAGTACTCTAGATAGGAAAAACTAACTACAAAATAAATGTGGTTCAAAGGTCCTATTTTACCTATCAAAGGTATGATAGGTAAAATAGGAAAAATATCCTTTCAAAAATATACGCCTATTTTAGACCTATATTTCTATTCTTTAAAAAAATCCGCAGATATTTAAGACTTTGAAAAAATAATCTTTCAACTTTTCAGGCTAATATAGGCCTAAAAAATCAAATTTATGTCCCTTGAAAAAACATTTCATTAAAAAACAACGCCTGAGTATAGCGCTTGAAAAAATATTCTTTAAAAAATCTACGCCTGGTTATGGTCCCTCAAAAACATTTTTCATATCCCTTGAAGAAATATTTTTTTAAAAAATCCATGCCCTTAACAAATCTATGGGTCCATCAAAAATATTTTATAAAAGTCTCATCCTTTGGTAGGTCTTGAAAAGGCATTCTTAAAAATCCTCGCCTATTATATGCATAGGAATCAAATTTATTATAGATTTTGAAAAATATAATTCGAAAAATACACAACTGTGGCAAGCCTTCAAAAATATTCTTAAACCAGTGAGCGGAGCAGTATAGTGGGACGGGGCCGACCATATGATACCCTACACAACTTCCACGAAAATCTAACTTTGTGTGGTTCTATATTCTGATCTTGGACAATATTTACACTCTCTTGACCTTCACCGTGGGTTGTGTTGTTATGTTCGGATTTCAATTGCGGCCTATAGATCGACTCAAAAAAAAACCAAAAAATTAAGTTTTCGGTCCACTTTATCCCAATATTATTATCTCCGAAAATTACAGGCGTTGTCCCTGACCATACCTCGATCCTCATAGAAAATTTCAAAGCGATCAGCGCTATACTTCCGTCCTCTAGTGTGGTAATGGTTTACTAAATAATATCTGCACCTGTAAATATTTAAGTGTAACTCCCACAACCGAGTACATACGACAATGTAATTGGTATCAATTTGAAGGCCAACCACTCCTCTTGGATATATTTTCAAATTCTTGGGTCTATGTCATTCAGAGGTAAATATATACGCTATAGAATACACATTTTGTAATTTTTCACACAAAAATCAGAGTCCATTTGACCCGCTAAATATTGACAGATCTTTATCAAAACAGGCATGATTATTCTTTGGTCCAATCCCCTTCTCCATGTAAAAATACGCGATGTTTGGGCCATAATTGCAGCCTCTGGAGCGGCCCGGAAATCAGACAAAAATAAAGTTTTTGGTACATTTCATCCCCTAAATATTAACAATAGGGGTCTTCATTGGGCAAAACCCATCCTATATGCAAAATTTCGTGAAGATTGGTTCATAACTGTGGTCTGTATCGTGTTATTATGATAGTCGGACAGACACACATGTCTAGATCGACTGAGCTAGTCGAGATATGACGATCGGTATATTTAAAGGTGGGCCTAGGACCAATGTTTCGCGGCGTTACAAACTCTTGGGGCTACACAAAGCTATAATACCCTGACACCATAGTTGTGTAGGGTATAAATAGGACTTAGATGGTCCTAGGAAAAATATGTTTAAAATGTCACTTAGATTGTCCTTGAAATATAATTGCTTAAAAATTCATGTCATAGATGGTCCTAGAAAAAATAATCTTTAAAAAATCTACACCTTTGTTAGACCTTGAAAAAATCCCCGCCTTTGGTAGGCCTTAAACATATTTTTTTTTTAAATCGACGCCTTTGGCAGGTCTTGAAAAAAATATTCTTTAAAAATCCACATCTGAGGTAGGCCATGAAAAATATTATAATAATATTTTAAGATCATCCAAAAGAGTTAAATGTCTCTTTACCCAAAATCGAAGCCCATACACCACGAAGTAGGGTATTCTAATCTATATTAAGCAATCGAATACTTTTATGAATTAAAAAATATTTTATATATACATATATAAACTTATGTATGAAATTCAAAAATATATATTATTTTTTATGAAATGTAAGTACATATGAGTATTTGTGTGCGTAAGTGTGATCAACACGAGTAGCGATGATATTACAATTTTTTTTTATTTTTTGAAAAATATGTTGATACCAAATGGAAACCCTAGAAACCAAGGCTTCATAAAAAAAATAATAATTAAGCTCGCCCAAAAACAAAACCATCAGAAGTCAAAAAAGTTATCTTTTTTTCCAAAAAAATATATGTGAAACAATAACAAAATAGAAGCAAATCACACAGATAGAACCCTTACACACACATAGACATATTTTCATCTATACCATAAGTAAATTAGTTAGTATTTTATAGAAAAAAAAACTATATTTTTGTTCATTATGCAAATGATGTGTAGATTGCTGTTCTTGTCTAAGTGTTAATATGTGTGATAGTCACACATTTACTATATGTGCATATATGTGTGTGTGTGATAATTTCATCATCAGAGATATGAAGGCTCACATGTACACACAGATAGGTGTGTATATGTACAAAGGACCATATTTGTATTGGAGACTTGTTGTATACATATACTCCCCAACACACCCACACACACATATAGTGATCGAACATACAACACGATTCGTTTATGATCGTGTGATCGGTTCGTTCGTTCATTCGTGCTGATTGCTCGTATATGTTTCTCTTTCACAATTTTGTACGCACACACACACATTGATTGCTCTCTTAGAGCATAGACTATCATTGGCATTAGCATATGGTGGCCAAGTAAAACCGCTATACACCGTGTCCGTGTGTATGCCCATGGTGTATGCATGCATGTATGGCTGTGTGTGTGTGTGAGTGTCTGTGGCATATTGTATGTTTGATTTCGCTTGTGAGATGATGCTTTACTGTTGGCTGCATTTTATACTATAATTAGTCGTGTTCTGCCTTCGCAAGTAAGTAGTAGCTTCAGTTTAGAACGTTGTCCACCGCCGAAGCAAGGAGACAACACACAGTTGAAGAAAAAAAGTAAAAAAAAAACAAGAAGAAAATAAAAAACACACATAACAAATAAACAAGAAAATAATACTACACAATATAAAGTCAACAGCAAACGAAACGAAAAACACGAAGTCCATGACAGCAGAATTCGGTCTGTCTGTCTGTTTGTTTTTTTCAGTTCCATTGGTATTAAGCCACAACTAATGTTTGTGCATATTCTCTAAGTTCTCCATTAATCAGTACGCTCCAGTCGATCTGCACAGTTGGATCGAGGCGCTTTTTGCTCGACCAACCAAAAACCTAAAGCTAAGCCGAAAACAAAAAAGAAAAGAAAACTTTTTCCCAGCCACCACAGTTCCGTTCTCCCTTTTTTTTCGTGAGCCAAGCTATCTACCATTACGAACAGGAAAAAAAGGGGAGCAAATGGATGGGGTTCATCTTTAACTGGGATTAGAATATTCAAAAAAAAAAAAATAAATAAATAAAAAAAATCATTAAAAAAGAAAAACAATCCGAAAAGAAAAACTATTCAAATGAATTTGTAGTTGTCTTAAAAAATATAGTTTAGTTTAAAAAAATCAAAAACGGAAGCGAAACGGTTAACTTCGATTAAAAAAGTAATTAAAAATGATTCGATTTTTTTTAAATTATAAAAAGTGGATTGTATTTTTTTTTACTTAAAAAAATTTTAATATTTTTTAAAAGTGAAATTTGTTTTATATTTTTTTTTAATTATTTTTTTATTTTTATTTGAAAAAAAAAACAAAAGATAATTAAAAGTGTTTTTGCTTAAATAATTTTAATTTTATTGACTGATTCATTTAATTTTATTAATTTTTAAATAGAAGTGAACTTTGTGTTATTTTTTATAAAAAAATAAATTTTTTTAGATATTTAAAGAAATATGGGTTTTCCTAAAAAAATATTTTTTTTTAAACTTCTCCCAAGTGAACTTTGTGTTTTTTATTTCGTTTTATTGCCGTTTATATGTGTGTGTGTGTCTATCTTTTCTTTTTTTTTTTTTGCAATCATAGAAAAGTGTCACCGTGACTTATCTGGTCCTACTTCTTCTTCTTTCTTTTCTCTTTTTTTTTGTCTCATTAGGAGGTTATCGCGAAATTCTAATAGTTTTGTTTCCCCTCTGGATTATCAATTTTCTTTTTCTATATATTTCTAACTCCGTGGTGGATCGTTAAGGAAACGGAAATACACGCATTCAAAATTGGGGTATAATGGAGCCCCTGTGGAAGCGGTAAGTTGAAAAAGAAAAATAATAGATCCTTGAATTAAAAAATAATTAATATTTTGTTGGGAAATTAAAAAAATAATTATAATTATTTTAAAATTAATTAAAAATATTAAAAAATAAGTAAAATTATAAATTATTATATTATAATTATTAAATAATAATAAATAATTATATTAATAATATTATTATAAATTATATTTCATATATCTAAGTATTTAATGATATACTATTATCTATTTTTATGCAATCATTTTTATAGTTAATATAAACAGTAATTCGGATAATTAAAAAAAAAATAATTAAATTAATAAAAAATATTTACTTCAATAACAAAATTGATTCATATAATAAAAATAATAATAAACTAATTAAAATTATTAAATAATAATTTAAATTATTATAAAGATATATATATATATATATATATTATTTTTTTATTTTATGTTTATATATTATGTTATATAAAAATTTTATTTTATGTTATATAAAAATAATGAATTATTTTATATTAAAAATAATTAATAATATGTTTGTAAATAATATATTATTAATTATTTTTAATGTTACATATATATATATATATAACTTGTTCCTTAAAATTCAATATAATACAAAAAATATTTATATTTATTTATATTTATATTTTTATTAATAAATAATTAATTTTTTAATAAATAAACTTATTAATTTCATAATAAACTTATTAAATTACATTATTTATTAATAAATCAATATATTTAATTTTTGCATAAAAATAATTTTCAAATAATGTTTAAAAATAACATTTAATAATTAATATTTTTCCAATTTAAATGAGATGTTAATTAAAAGATATGATTTCTATAAATTAAAAAATTAAAAAAAGTATTATATATGTATATATATTTAAATGACATTTCCGTATTGTCTAGTGGGTAGGATAACCGGTTCTAGGGCCGATATATCGGGTTCCAAAACTGAAAAAATCATATTTTTTTCCGATGGACTTATCTATCACCTTCCTACCCGACTTGAAGCTTCCGTAGCTTATTTGTAGCCACCCGGCAGAGGTTTGAAATTCTCTTTACAACTTTAAAATCTTTGGAATTTTTTGAAGAGGTTGTGAATGATCCTTTAAAAGGCATTTTTTGAGAATTACCGAAATAGAAATGAATGAAATGAAAGCCACTAAATTGACTTATTTCAAGACATGAAATAGGTTATTTATAGCCAGATTCAGATTAATGCATACGACTTTAAAAATCATCGAAGTTTTTTTTTGGAAAGGATGTGAATGATCCTTTAAATGAAATTTTTCGAGCATTACCGTCTTGTCTAGTAGTTCTGATATCCGGTTCTAAAGCCACTAAATCTACTTATGTATAGACTTGAAGCATCCATTGGACATTTATAGCCACCCGGCTCGACCTCAAAAATCATCAGAGTTTTTTTTTTGTTTTTGGAATGGGTGTGGATGATTCATATAATTGAATTTTACCGAGTTGCTTGTGGCTTCTTAGAATCTAATCAGCTTAGTATTTTAAACATGCCTTTCCAGAATCCATAAAAATTGAAAATTTAACAATTTGTCTAGTAGTTAGGATACGAACTAGGGATAAGCATTTGGACTTCATGACATCGCACATGATTTTCCTCTATAGGTTATTTGTAGACCCCCGACAAAAGTGTTTAATATTTAAAACTCGAACATCATCCTTTGATTTTATAAAGCATTTTGTTGCGGCATCGTCGATATAGCCTGCCTTCGTTTACTAATGTATGATTCGGTATAGTTATAATTTGGTATAAGAAACTTCATCTTGGCTTCTGGGCTCAAAAAATTGTTTTTTTATATTTTGTACCGTATTGTCTAGTAGTTAGGATATCCGGTATCCTTTTTCGGCTTCCGAAAAAGATTTTTTCTTGAGAAATAACCTAAGAATATGAAATTTGTTATTTTGGTTTCTCTGATAAAAAAAAAACTATTTTCTAACCGAAAATATTTAATATAGTCACATGTTTCAACATAGTCCACATATATTAGGATCCCAACCAATTTCTGATATTTTGAAGGTCCTATTTTGTTTTTTTTTTTTTTGACATTTTAATATTGGTCCGAGTTCGTAGCCATATTCATTTGCTCAGGAGTTGAAAAATCTCTTGCCTATAATTTTCAGAAATGAAATATAAGTTATTATTTCTGATATTCAGTAGATAAAAATCGACCTCCTTTCGGAGAATTATCAAAGTTCCAACCGAATTATTTTTGGTATTTTGAAGACTTAAACGAACTGACTGTAAAACATTTGAAACATTTTCAAATATATAGGAATGCTGACGTATTTTTAGGATTCCAGACCAATAATCTTTACAACCGATGAAGAATTGGTCTACGACCCTAACTTCTGGCTGCGAATTAATTAATATAGAACCACATTAGGGATTTTAAAATACTTCTTCGTATAAAATAGCTCTTGACAGCTTTTGTATTCCCCCGTAGGAATTTCAATTCGTGCATGTTTTTCAATCGCGATATTTGGACATAGTCCAATATAAAGGGTCCGCCTACATTTTGGGTGTATTTTCTAATCGAAGTGTCGATAATTTGGCACTTCGGGCTCTGTTATGATAAAAATAACTCCTCATAGATCTATGTCTGAATAGGGGGCTATTTCAAGGTCTGCCTCATTTTATGAATATTACAGATACTGGAGGTATCTTCGAACCGAAGTGTCTGCAATTTGCCATTTCAAGCTCTCAGCGGATAAAAGACCTCCTGGATAAAATAAATCATTGTCGGACTATGTTCAGACATAGTCCCCATATAAGGACCCCGATCGATTTTACGAATTTTTAGTTAACAACTGAATGTTGTTTAGCATTTCGGAGTATAAAAGTCCTCCAGGATACAAATACATGAATATAGGTCGATAATTATACATAAAATGATTCTGAGTAATTTTAGGAATTGGAATTAGCAGCAATTGGTATGCAATTTGGCATTTCCAGTTTTCAGAGGATAAGAAAAACTTCGGAATAAACAAAATGCAGTTTGACATTTTGAGTTTAAAGAGGATAAACTAAAAAAATCTTTACCGGTCAATGTTTAGACATAGTCCCCAAAATAAGAGTCCCGAAGGACTTTACGCATTGTAAAGATAATATTTTCGTATTCTTGGTGGATAAAAGAACTCCTTGGTACACATCTTAGTCGCATTTTCTAATCGAATTGGATTTTATTTATCTATTCTTATTCAATCCTCCCCATCGAAAAACTATCAAAACCGGTCCCGTCTTAAATATAGCAATTTAATTTTCGGCATTTTGAGCATTTTTATTAAAATCTTTAACATTTTTCGTTTTTTTTTTTTTTTGTTTTAATAAGATTTTTGAAAATTTCTCTTAAATTTGGCCAATTACCCATTTCTCTTATTTCTGTGAGATTTTAGCATTCTCTCTTTTATTACCTCACTTTATCTTTAATCTTTAAGAGTAAAATACATAATTCATAGAATACAAACATAAGAGAGCCTATTTTAAGTATTTAATTTTTCTCTTATTAATTTACTCCTCTTCTTTCTCTTTAATTAAAATATATCATATATTTTTCTCTTTTATTTTTAGGCTACTGTTTGCCGCTGTATTTGCTGGAGCGTTTTTAGGAATAAATGCTGTAAGTAGATTTTTTATATCAATTTCTTTTTATGTGTTCTCTCCTCCTCCCCATCACCCCCAACCACACATACACATGCACTCGCAATGATGCAAGAAATGTGGCATAAATGTGCTGATAAGAGAAAATTTACAATAACAAAACGGAAATTAAAATAAAATATACAAAACGAACAACAACAACAACAAATGATTTTCCGATAAATGGATTTGAATGAATGAAAAAGAATTATAAACGGGTATTGAGAAATGACGTTTGATAATGTAACGCGATGACCTCAAAATCGGAATTATTGTACTTCCTTTCTGGGGGAAAATGGATTTAAAAATTTTAAATGAAATTTCTTGGATTTAAAAAAATAGTTTTTCAAGAGGATAGATTCTTGTAAAAAATTAGAAATAGAAAAAAATAAAAGCATAGATTAATTTTTTCAAAATAATTTTTTTAAATCTATTTTTTAAAATTAATTTTTAAGCGTGAATTTTTTATAAAATAAATTTTTAAGCGTGGATTTTTTTAAATGATTTTTTTAATTTTTTGAAAACTAATTTTTAATTTTTTTTAAATTATCTTTTACAATCCAGCAATTTTGGAAAACAACCGATACCGGTGCCATCTACAACACCGCTAAACACTATCGTCCCGATGTTGGCAATCAAGCCCCACCCCAACCGATCGACGACAGCTATTCGATAATTGACAGCGCGAAAAATTGCAGCACCAACACACCCGGCTGTATACCGAAATGTTTTGCCGAAAAGGGTAATCGCGGTCTGCAGGGACCAATTGGTATGCCCGGCCCCAAAGGTTTGCCCGGCTATCCCGGTACCGAAGGTCCACCCGGTGATAAGGGTCAAAAAGGTGATCCCGGTCCAATGGGACCTAGAGGCTTGAAGGGTGAACGTGGTACACCCGGTATTCCCGGTATGGCTGGTGTACCCGGTATTCAAGGTATTGCCGGTAATCCCGGTGCACCCGGTATTCCCGGTAAGGATGGCTGTGATGGCGAGAAGGGTTTGGCCGGTCTACCCGGTTTGAGCGGTATGGCTGGACCTCGTGGTTATCCAGGTCAACCTGGTGCCAAGGGTGAAAAAGGTGAACCGGCTAAGGAGAATGGTGACTATGCCAAGGGTGAAAAGGGTGAGCCCGGCTTTGCCGGTCGTCCCGGTAATCCTGGTCCCGAGGGTCCAATTGGTCCAAAGGGTGAACGTGGTGAAACTGGTCCATTGGGTGCTCCCGGTTTGCGTGGTGATCGCGGTTTGAAGGGTGAAAAGGGTGCTCCTTGCTTCCCCAGACCACAACCCGGCAGAAAAGGTGAAAAGGGTGAGAAAGGTGAACCAGCTCAATACCGACCATTTACTGGTGGTGAAACCGAGATTATTGGCGAAAAGGGTGAAATGGGTCAACGAGGTGATATGGGCGCACCCGGTGATAAGGGTTCTGTCGGCCCTCAAGGTCCACAAGGTTTTGAAGGTCCCAAGGGTGAAAAGGGTCTTCCTGGCGGTCCCGGTGATAGAGTGCGTAAAACAACATCATAAACTTCGTTAATTTTTAATATCCTATTCTCAAAATCATTAGGGTCGTCAAGGTGCTTTTGGTCCTCCTGGTCCTCCCGGCCAAAAGGGTGATCGTGGTGAAACTGGCTTGAATGGTTTGCCTGGCAAGCCCGGTCAAAAGGGTGAACCCGGTCGTCCCGGTAAACCTGGTGAGCGTGGTCTTGTCGGTCCTCCAGGTCCACCTGGTGGCGGTCGTGGCTCCCCTGGCGCTCCCGGTCCTAAAGGTCCCCGTGGTTATCCTGGTGCTCCAGGTCCCAAGGGTTTGGATGGTTTCGATGGCCCACCTGGTCCACAAGGTTTGCCCGGTGCTAAGGGCGGCCCTGGTATGCCCGGTAACAATGGTGTTGAAGGTCCTCCTGGCGAAAAAGGTGAAAAAGGTAATGCAGGTCGTCCCGGTCCCATGGGTCCCCAAGGTCCTATCGGCCATACTGGTCCTCCAGGTCCTGAAGGTCAAAAGGGTGAAGCTGGTCTACCTGGATATGGTGAACGCGGTCCTAAAGGTGATGATGGCATTCCTGGGTAAGTCGTAGATCCCAAATCGTTTTCATTGCGGTTTAAATACAACAACATTTGGTTCTCTTCCTCTCTCTCATGACAGCACTCCCGGCTTGAAGGGTACAAAGGGTGAACGCGGTTTAACTGGCGCTCCTGGTGCCCCTGGTGACTCCAAATTAGGTCTTCCCGGTACTCCTGGTCCCGTCGGTGCTCCTGGTCCTCGTGGTGATCAAGGTCGTCCTGGTACCCCTGGTCCCAAAGGTGACATGGGTCCCAAGGGTGATGCTGGCGGCAAATGTTCAGACTGTGCTCCCGGACAGAAAGGTGACAAAGGTGATCGTGGTACAGATGGTATCCCTGGCCGTGATGGTCTCAGAGGTCCTCCCGGCGAACGTGGTTATCCTGGCGAACGTGGATCTGATGGTATTCCTGGCCCCCCTGGTCCTCCTGGCGAGAAGGGTAGAGATGGTATCCCCGGTGCTCCAGGTCCCTATGGTCTCCCCGGTAAAAACGCTATGGTTGATCTGAATCTTATCGAACCCGTTAAGGGAGACAAGGGTGAACGTGGTTATCCTGGTGCTCAAGGTGTGAAGGGTGACAGAGGCTTAGCCGGTATTCCAGGTGCTCCTGGACAAAAGGGTGAAATTGGCGATAAGGGCGACAAAGGCTATCCCGGTCCTCCAGGTGCTGATGGCGCTCCAGGTAACCCCGGTCGTGATGGTTTTGATGGTGCTCCAGGTCGCAGCATTAAGGGTGAACCAGGTCTTGCTGGTCGCGATGGTGAAAAGGGTGACAAGGGTATGACTGGTCCCCGTGGTATGACTGGTGATCCCGGTACTTGTGACGTCGACTATTTGAAGGTTCCCGCTAAGGGCAACAAGGGTGACCGCGGTGCTCCTGGCAATCCTGGTGCATTGGGTCCCACTGGTCCCAAAGGCGACAAAGGTAGTGCTGGCCAAAAGGGTGAAACTGGTCCACAAGGTCCACCTGGACCTGCTGGTCCTCGCGGTATGACTGGTCCACGTGGTGAACCTGGTCCACAGGGTCCTATTGGTGCCCCTGGTAATCCTGGTAGAGACGGTTTGCGTGGTCCTCCCGGCAGAAACGGACCTCCTGGTCAAAAGGGTGACCAAGGTATTGCCAGACCCGGTCCTCCAGGTAGCATTGGTCGTCCCGGTTTGCCTGGTCCTAAAGGTGATCGTGGTTTGGATGGTCCCATGGGTCCTCCTGGTATGGATGGCGCTCCTGGCTACCCTGGCGAAAAAGGTGATTCTGGTCTTCCCGGTGCTCCTGGTGCCCCTGGTGTTGACGGTCCTAAGGGTGATATGGGTCCTCGTGGTCCAACTGGTCCCGCCGGCCCACCTGGTAAGCCTGGTGTCGATGGTGTTCAAGGTCGTGATGGTGCTAAGGGTGAACCCGGCTATCCCGGTTTGGTCGGTATGCCTGGTATGAAGGGTGAACGAGGTGCTCCTGGTATTGATGGTCCTAAAGGTTTCACTGGTATTACTGGTCCACCTGGCAAACGTGGTCCTCCTGGTCCTGCTGGCATTCCTGGTAAGTTAGACAAATCGATGTATTTTTTTTCGGTAGGAAATTGAATAACTGATTCCGCTTCGTCGTATAGGCGCCAAGGGTGATCGTGGTGAACGTGGTCTGACTGGCAAGGATGGTTTGCCCGGTGTCCGTGGTCCTCCTGGCCCACCTGGTTTAATGGGTATGAAAGGTGATATGGGTCCCATGGGTCCTCCCGGTGCCGATGGTGTTCCTGGTATTGATGGCGCCAAGGGTGATCGTGGTTTGCCCGGTATGGATGGTCCCCGTGGTGAGCCTGGCGATGCTGCTGAAAAGGGTCAAAAGGGTGAACCTGGTGCCTCTGGTTTGCGTGGTGAACCTGGTATGCCCGGTGCTCCTGGCATGCCTGGTGAAAAGGGTGTACCCGGAATTGCCTTGCATGGACGTCCCGGAGCTCCTGGCGAAAAGGGTGATCGTGGCCGTGATGGTGCCGATGGCCTCAATGGCAGACCCGGTGAAAAGGGTGATCAAGGTCTGCCCGGTTTGACTGGACCAAAGGGTATTAAGGGTGACATCGGTCTACCTGGTGCTCCAGGTCTTCCTGGCATGGATGGCAAGCCTGGTCAAATGGGTCCCGCTGGTCCAATGGGTCATACCGGACCTAAAGGTGACAAGGGTGAACGTGGCTATCCTGGCATTAACGGCGCCAAGGGCGACAAGGGTGAACGTGGTGTTGCTGGCTTCAATGGCGCTCCCGGTCCTAAGGGTGACCGCGGTGTTCCCGGTAAACCTGGTCTAAATGCTACGCCTATTACGATTAAGGGTGAACCTGGTGAGATGGGTGAACCCGGTTTGATTGGTTTGCCAGGTCCTATGGGTCTCAAGGGTAACCAAGGCCCACCCGGCTTCAACGGACCTAAGGGTGATCGTGGCTTGACTGGAGCTCCCGGTCCCAACGGTTTGAATGGTATGCCTGGTGCTAAGGGTGAACGCGGTCCCATGGGTGATGTTGGTGCTCCTGGCCTGACCATCAAGGGTGAAAAGGGTTTGCCTGGCCGTACTGGTAAAAATGGACGTGAAGGTAGGTGGTGTCGAAATCCTACTTGTTGTGGGTGAGAAATATCTGATCTGAGTGTTGTTTTTCAGGTGCCCCTGGTATGCCCGGTCAAAAGGGTGAAAAGGGTTTGGCTGGTTTGCCTGGTACTCCCGGTGCTCCTGGTGCCCCCGGCCCCATTGGTCCACAGGGTCCTAAAGGTGATCGCGGTTTGGTTGGTGCTCCCGGCAGAGACGGTGCTAATGGTATGCCTGGTGCTCCTGGCATTAAGGGTGATATGGGCTATCCCGGTCCCAAGGGTGATATGGGTCTGCCCGGTCTGCAAGGCGAAAAGGGTGACAAGGGTGAAATGGGCATGGTTGGCGCCCCCGGTCTGCCTGGTTTGCGCGGTGAAAAGGGTGATCGTGGTCTCGATGGTATGGAAGGTTTGCCCGGTCCCGTCGGTGCTCCCGGTGAAAAGGGCTTCCAAGGTCCACCCGGTCTCAATGGTCGTGACGGTTTGCCTGGTCTCAAGGGTGACAAGGGTGAACCCGGCAAGATTCCACCTCCCGGTCCCAAGGGTGAACCTGGCTATCCTGGACGTGATGGTCAAAAGGGTGAACGTGGTCCTCAGGGTCCTCGCGGCATGGTTGGTCTACAAGGTGAACGCGGTGAAAAGGGTGAAATGGGTTTGGTTGGTTTGACTGGCGCTCCCGGCCGTCCCGGTCCTAAGGGTGACACCGGACCAATGGGTTTGGTGGGTCGTGATGGTGCTCCCGGTCCCATGGGTGCCAAGGGTGAGCCTGGTGCACCTTGCACACATGCTCCCGACTATCTTACCGGTATTTTGTTGGTACGTCACAGTCAAACCGCCCAGGTGCCACGTTGTGAACCCGGCCATACCGAATTGTGGAGTGGTTATTCGCTGTTGTATGTCGATGGTAATGATTATGCTGCCAATCAAGATTTGGGTTCGCCCGGTTCGTGTGTAAGACGTTTCTCGACACTGCCCGTCATGTCGTGCGGTACCAATAACATTTGCAACTATGCTTCGCGTAACGATAAATCGTTCTGGTTGACCACCAACAATCCATCGATGCCAATGATGCCGGTGCCAGCACAGGAAGTTAGCCAATACATTTCACGTTGTGTGGTGTGTGAGGTGCCTGCCAATGTTATTGCTGTGCACAGTCAGACTTTGGATATACCAACGTGTCCAAATGGTTGGGAAGGCTTGTGGATTGGTTACAGTTTTATGATGGTAAGGAAAGGAGGAGGAAGAGGAGGGGAAATGATTTTGAGATACTGATTTTTGTTTTGTTTTTCTCTTTTTTTGTAGCACACTGCTGCCGGTAATGGTGGTGGTGGCCAGGACATGTCCTCGCCCGGTTCCTGTTTGGAAGACTTCCGCCCCATACCCTTCATCGAGTGTAATGGCGGCAAGGGCCATTGCTTCTTCTACGACACAATCAACAGTTTCTGGCTGGTAACCCTGGAGGAATATCAACAGTTCCAGAGACCCGATATGGTTACCCTCAAGGCGGGCAACCTGAAGCAAAGAGTCTCCAGATGTCAAGTTTGTATTAAGAACTCATCATAAGAGCCACATAGTTAGCAACAACAACAATAACAACAGCAACAACAAATAAGTAAAATATAAAAGAAATAGCCAAGGAAAGGAAAATCCACCATAAGAGTTCCCCTACCCCCAACAAAAATAATTTCCCGCAAATTTGTCCCAGTTGATAACCAGTTTCCTTTTTTGTTTGTTCGATTGTTTGTTTTCTTTTTTTTAATATATAATTAAAAACAATTATTATTATTATTTACTATTTTTATACTCTTATGATTTACCTTAAGAATTCGAAACCGATTCCTTAATTACAAAAACTACAACAAAAACAAGAACAACAACATTTTTTTAATGCCTTAACATAAGTAAACGAATACCAAAAACAAAAACAACAACAAGAAATCTTATTACAACAACAAGTTTTGTTTGTATGTTTGCCTTACTGCCTGTCTGTCTTCCCCGCACAACCCCATTCCCCACCCCAAAAAAAAAACAAAAATCCTTAGATTTTAAATCGACAATCAGCAAACAGCAACAACAACAACAACAAGAAAACATTCTAATCTGCCATTTAAAACGAATTTCTATTTTTTAATATGTCGTTTTTTCTTTTTTTGTAATAAATGTAATATTTAGTGTTTTTTTTTAAATATAAGTAACAAAATAATACAATTAATAATAATAAAATAACAACAACAACAAAGAAAAATCCAAAATGAAAACCAAATTCCAAAATTTCCAAAGAACGAAAACTTACAAAAAAAAAAAATCAAATCCTTGTTTTGTGTTTTTCAATTTGAAATAAACTGCCATACTAATTTTAATAATATAATATATATAAAAAATATATATATTTTAATATACATATATAAGCGAGATCCGTTATGTATAAACCAAACAACAACAACAAACCATAAATAATAAATAAACAAATAAAAATAAATATGTTACAAAATTATTAAATTTTTTTTAAAAAATATTTTTTCAAGGGTCCAATCAAGGCGTGGATTTTTTAAAGAATAGTTTTTCAAGAGTCCAACAAAGGCGAGGATTTTTTAAAGAACATTTTTTCAATGGTCAACCTAAGGCGTGGACTTTTTAAAGAATATTTTTTCAAGGGTCCATCTAAGGCGTGGATTCTTTAAAGAATATTTTTTCAAGGGTCAACCTAAGGCGTGGATTTTTTAAAGAAATTTTTTTCAAGCACCCACCTAAGGCGTGGATTTTTTAAAGAATATTTTTTCAAGCACCCACCTAAGGCGTGGATTTTTTAAAGAAATTTTTTTCAAGCACCCACCTAAGGCGTGGATTTTTTAAAGAATATTTTTTCAAGCACCCAACAAAGGCGTGGATTTTTTAAAGAAATTTTTTTCAAGCACCCACCTAAGGCGTGGATTTTTTAAAGAATATTTTTTCAAGCACCCAACAAAGGCGTGGATTTTTTAAAGAAATTTTTTTCAAGCACCCACCTAAGGCGTGGATTTTTTAAAGAATATTTTTTCAAGCACCCAACAAAGGCGTGGATTTTTTAAAGAAATTTTTTTCAAGCACCCAACAAAGGCGTGGATTTTTTAAAGAATATTTTTTCAAGCACCCAACAAAGGCGTGGATTTTTTAAAGAATATTTTTTCAAAGGTCCACCTAAGGCGTGGATTTTTTAAAGAATATTTTTTCAAGGGTCCATCTAAGGCGTGGATTTTTTAAAGAATATTTTTTCAAGGGTCCATCTAAGGCGTGGATTTTTTAAAGAATATTTTTTCAAGGGTCCATCTAAGGCGTGGATTCTTTAAAGAATATTTTTTCAAGGGTCAACCTAAGGCGTGGATTTTTTAAAGAAATTTTTTTCAAGCACCCACCTAAGGCGTGGATTTTTTAAAGAATATTTTTTCAAGCACCCACCTAAGGCGTGGATTTTTTAAAGAAATTTTTTTCAAGCACCCAACAAAGGCGTGGATTTTTTAAAGAAATTTTTTCAAGCACCCAACAAAGGCGTGGATTTTTTAAAGAAATTTTTTTCAAGCACCCACCTAAGGCGTGGATTTTTTAAAGAATATTTTTTCAAGCACCCAACAAAGGCGTGGATTTTTTAAAGAAATTTTTTTCAAGCACCCACCTAAGGCGTGGATTTTTTAAAGAATATTTTTTCAAGCACCCAACAAAGGCGTGGATTTTTTAAAGAAATTTTTTTCAAGCACCCAACAAAGGCGTGGATTTTTTAAAGAATATTTTTTCAAGCACCCAACAAAGGCGTGGATTTTTTAAAGAATATTTTTTCAAGCACCCAACAAAGGCGTGGATTTTTTAAAGAAATTTTTTTCAAGCACCCAACAAAGGCGTGGATTTTTTAAAGAATATTTTTTCAAGCACCCAACAAAGGCGTGGATTTTTTAAAGAATATTTTTTCAAGCACCCAACAAAGGCGTGGATTTTTTAAAGAATATTTTTTCAAGCACCCAACAATGGCGTGGATTTTTTAAAGAATATTTGTTCAAGGGTCCTACAAAGAGGCGTGGATTTTTTAAAGAATATTTGTTCAAGGGTCCTACAAAGAGGCGTGGATTTTTTAAAGAATATTTGTTCAAGGGTCCTACAAAGAGGCGTGGATTTTTTAAAGAATATTTGTTCAAGGGTCCTACAAAGAGGCGTGGATTTTTTAAAGAATATTTGTTCAAGGGTCCTACAAAGAGGCGTGGATTTTTTAAAGAATAATACAAGGCGTAGGGTGGCGAAGGGGATGATAGATACCAAGCAAGCTCTGAGTGGCTTTAAAATGGCGAAGTCCAGGCTTATCTTGGTCTTCGCCATGTTAAAGCCAACCAGAGCCGTTGCTTGGTATCTTGGTTGGCGAAGGGGATGATGGATACCTAGCGACGGCTCTGATTGGCTTTAGCATGGCGAAGTTCAGGCTTATCTTGGGCCCTCTTTCATCTCAATTGTGGACACTGACCTCCCCGCGGTGCCACCTGGGGAGCTAGTTTTTCATCACCCGATGAAATAGTGAGCTAATATGTGCCGCGAGTTCACCCATAAGAACTATAAAAAAATGGGTTGAGGCGTCGGGTTAGTTGCCCACACTCGGAAAACCCCTCCTGCTATGAAAAAGCAAAGAAAAGGAAAACCAAACCCCCCTAATGTTGGCGACCCCCGCTAACGTATAAAGGACCACGATTTGCGAGTCTGCACTTGGAATGTGCGCACCTTGTACAGAACAGGCGCAGTGTTCGGTTTGGCGGATGTACTCAAGATGGAAAGGGACAGGCGTAATTAAATCAGATAATTACACCCTGTATTATAGCTGCCATGAAACGAGACATGAATTTGGCTGCGGATTTATGGTTAACAGGAGAATAAAAGTCCTCGTCTCCAGATTCACTCCAGTAGATGAACGAATTGCTATAATCCGTATAAAAGCGAAGTTCTTCTACATCAGTCTCATTTGTGCCCGTGCTCCGACCGAAGATAAAGATGAACAGACCAAAGACATATTTTACGAGCGCCTAGAAACAGCATATGACCGTTGCCCTGGCCATGGCATTAAAATTCTGATAGGCGATTTTAATGCAAAAATCGGAAAATTCAGCCTTCTCGAAGAAACATCCGACAACGGCATGAGGTTAATTGACTTCGTGGCAGCAAAAAACATGCTGCAGCAAAAGCAACACTTGTGTACCATCAAAAAATCCGTGGTACGATCAGGAGTGTCGTAATGCTACAAGATCAGCAGTTAAATTCGGAAAGGACCTCTCGGAGCCCTTTAATACCGAACGAGGATTCAGGCAAGGTGACAGTTTGTCGTGTGACCTTTTAAACATCCTGCTGGAAAAGGCCATACGAGAGGCAAAAGGGAACAGAAATGACACTATGTACTCCAAACACGCCGCCTACGCAGTTGTCACCGACATAATGGGTCGAACACTGAGAGCACTGATGGTATCAACGTGCAAGACGTCAGTAGACTCGGACCAACTGTGGAACTTGAGATCTACAGTTTCGAGGTAGTCAATGATTTTATATACCTTGGTACCGCCATAGTGAAAAGGATAGTGATGGCCAACAGATTCTACTATGGTCTAAGTAAGCAGTTTAGAAACAAGGCCAACTCCCGCCAGACCAAACTCACACTTTACAAGACGCTGATACTACCAGTGCTATTATATGGATCACAAGCATGGGTACTTGCGCAAGCAGATGAGGCAGCTCTTGGAGTGTTTGAGAGAAAAATTCTCCGAAAGATCTATGGGCCGATCTGCGTTGAATATCGCCGTCGAATGAACCATGAGTTGTAGCAGCTATTCTCAGACATCGACATTGTTAGACGTATTGAGCTGCAGCGACTACGTTGGCTAGGTCATGTTGTGAGAATGGATGAAGATGCCCCAGCCCAGAAGGCATATAAAAGCTAATAGGCTGATGGTTCACGCAGAAGGGGAAGGCCACGAATAAGATGGAAAGATCAAGTGGAGGACAACATTGCCGAATATGATCTTTCAAACTGGAAACAAAATGCGCAAAAGACCGACGAGCCTGCAATTTTTTTTTTAAGCTCGGCTTATGGAACGAAAGTTCTGTCACAAGCCGAATAAGTTAGTAAGTATGACAGATAGAGGACATTTTATAGATGACAGCCAGTTAAAATAGATGCTTGTCCTCTAAAACAGGCAAGAATTATTTTAAAGAATATTCTTTCAAGAACTATATAGGCGTGTATTTTTTTAAGAATGTTCTTTAAAAAATCCACGCATTAGGTGGACCCTTGAAAAAATATTATTTACAAAATCTAAGGCGTAGATTTTGTAAATAATATTTGAAAAAATATTCTTTAAAAAATCCACGCCTTGGATAGGCCTTGAAAAAATATTCTTTAAAAAATCCACGCCTTGGATAGGCCTTGAAAAAATATTCTTTAAAAAATCCACGCCTTGGATAGGCCTTGAAAAAATATTCTTTAAAAAATCCACGCCTTGGATAGGCCTTGAAAAAATATTCTTTAAAAAATCCACGCCTTGGATAGGCCTTGAAAAAATATTCTTTAAAAAATCCACGCCTTGGATAGGCCTTGAAAAAATATTCTTTAAAAAATCCACGCCTTGGATAGGCCTTGAAAAAATATTCTTTAAAAAATCCACGCCTTGGATAGGCCTTGAAAAAATATTCTTTAAAAAATCCACGCCTTGGATAGGCCTTGAAAAAATATTCTTTAAAAAATCCACGCCTTGGATAGGCCTTGAAAAAATATTCTTTAAAAAATCCACGCCTTGGATAGGCCTTGAAAAAATATTCTTTAAAAAATCCACGCCTTGGATAGGCCTTGAAAAAATATTCTTTAAAAAATCCACGCCTTGGATAGGCCTTGAAAAAATATTCTTTAAAAAATCCACGCCTTGGATAGGCCTTGAAAAAATATTCTTTAAAAAATCCACGCCTTGGATAGGCCTTGAAAAAATATTCTTTAAAAAATCCACGCCTTGGATAGGCCTTGAAAAAATATTCTTTAAAAAATCCACGCCTTGGATAGGCCTTGAAAAAATATTCTTTAAAAAATCCACGCCTTGGATAGGCCTTGAAAAAATATTCTTTAAAAAATCCACGCCTTGGATAGGCCTTGAAAAAATATTCTTTAAAAAATCCACGCCTTGGATAGGCCTTGAAAAAATATTCTTTAAAAAATCCACGCCTTGGATAGGCCTTGAAAAAATATTCTTTAAAAAATCCACGCCTTGGATAGGCCTTGAAAAAATATTCTTTAAAAAATCCACGCCTTGGATAGGCCTTGAAAAAATATTCTTTAAAAAATCCACGCCTTGGATAGGCCTTGAAAAAATATTCTTTAAAAAATCCACGCCTTGGATAGGCCTTGAAAAAATATTCTTTAAAAAATCCACGCCTTGGATAGGCCTTGAAAAAATATTCTTTAAAAAATCCACGCCTTGGATAGGCCTTGAAAAAATATTCTTTAAAAAATCCACGCCTTGGATAGGCCTTGAAAAAATATTCTTTAAAAAATCCACGCCTTGGATAGGCCTTGAAAAAATATTCTTTAAAAAATCCACGCCTTGGATAGGCCTTGAAAAAATATTCTTTAAAAAATCCACGCCTTGGATAGGCCTTGAAAAAATATTCTTTAAAAAATCCACGCCTTGGATAGGCCTTGAAAAAATATTCTTTAAAAAATCCACGCCTTGGATAGGCCTTGAAAAAATATTCTTTAAAAAATCCACGCCTTGGATAGGCCTTGAAAAAATATTCTTTAAAAAATCCACGCCTTGGATAGGCCTTGAAAAAATATTCTTTAAAAAATCCACGCCTTGGATAGGCCTTGAAAAAATATTCTTTAAAAAATCCACGCCTTGGATAGGCCTTGAAAAAATATTCTTTAAAAAATCCACGCCTTGGATAGGCCTTGAAAAAATATTCTTTAAAAAATCCACGCCTTGGATAGGCCTTGAAAAAATATTCTTTAAAAAATCCACGCCTTGGATAGGCCTTGAAAAAATATTCTTTAAAAAATCCACGCCTTGGATAGGCCTTGAAAAAATATTCTTTAAAAAATCCACGCCTTGGATAGGCATTGAAAAAATATTCTTTAAAAAAATCCACGCCTTGGATAGGCATTGAAAAAATATTCTTTAAAAAATCCACGCCTTGGATAGGCCTTGAAAAAATATTCTTTAAAAAATCCACGCCTTGGATAGGCCTTGAAAAAATATTCTTTAAAAAATCCACGCCTTGGATAGGCCTTGAAAAAATATTCTTTAAAAAATCCACGCCTTGGATAGGCCTTGAAAAAATATTCTTTAAAAAATCGACACCTCTTTGTTGGAGCCTTGAAAAAATATTCTTTAAAAAATCGACACCTCTTTGTTGGAGCCTTGAAAAAATATTCTTTAAAAAATCGACGCCTCTTTGTTGGAGCCTTGAAAAAAATATTCTTTAAAAAATCCACTCCTCTTTGTTGGACTCTTGAAAAAATATTCTTTAAAAAATCCATGCCTCTTTTGGACCCTTTATAAAATATTCTTTAAAAAATCCATGCCTCTTTTGGACCCTTTATAAAATATTCTTTAAAAAATCCACGCCTCTTTGTTGGAGCCTTGAAAAAATATTCTTTAAAAAATCCACGCCTCTTTGTTGGAGCCTTGAAAAAATATTCTTTAAAAAATCCACGCCTTAGGTGGACCCTTGAAAAAATATTCTTTAAAAAATCCACGCCTTAGGTGGACCCTTGAAAAAATATTCTTTAAAAAATCCACGCCTTAGGTGGACCCTTGAAAAAAAATTCTTTAAAAAATCCACGCCTCTTTGTTGGAGCCTTGAAAAAAAATTCTTTAAAAAATCCACGCCATTTGTGGGTGCTTGAAAAAATATTATTTAAAAAATCCACGCCTTAGGTGCACCCTTGAAAAAATATTCTTTAAAAAATCCACGCCTTAGGTGGACCCTTGAAAAAATATTCTTTAAAAAATCCACGCCTTAGGTGGACCCTTGAAAAAATATTCTTTAAAAAATCCACGCCTTAGGTGGACCCTTGAAAAAATATTCTTTAAAAAATCCACGCCTTAGGTGGACCCTTGAAAAAATATTCTTTAAAAAATCCACGCCTTAGGTGGACCCTTGAAAAAAAATTCTTTAAAAAATCCACGCCTCTTTGTTGGAGCCTTGAAAAAAAATTCTTTAAAAAATCCACGCCATTTGTGGGTGCTTGAAAAAATATTATTTAAAAAATCCACGCCTTAGGTGCACCCTTGAAAAAATATTCTTTAAAAAATCCACGCCTTAGGTGGACCCTTGAAAAATTTTTCTTTAAAAAATCCACGCCTTAGGTGGACCCTTGAAAAAATATTCTTTAAAAAATCCACGCCTTAGGTGGACCCTTGAAAAATTTTTCTTTAAAAAATCCACGCCTTAGGTGGACCCTTGAAAAAATATTCTTTAAAAAATCCACGCCTTTGGTGGACCCTTGAAAAAATATTCTTTAAAAAATCCACGCCTCTTTGTAGGACCCTTGAAAAAATATTTTTTATTAATTTTTTATCCTGCCCTGCAAATCACTGTCTTCATAAAACCCAGGGAATTAATTTCCCTGTGTTTTTCTGTCATTGGGAAAAAGGGGATGTTTTACCCTAAAAATTCCCCCTTTCGAAGTCACGAAAGGCAGTGGGGGTTGTTGTTCGCTTGTTAATGAAACTACAACCCTTAGCGGAGTGTTCGTGACAAAAAACCTGTAACAAAGAAAGCCGGCAATAATACAACAACAACTACTTACAACTAAATAATGATAACAGAAAACATGACAAGAAAGCAAAGTAGCAAAACAAGGGAAGATATACCCAAATAGGAGAGGGTGGAAATACGAAACACACGCCAAAAAGGAAAACCGAAACCAAAATAGCGATAACGCCGATATGATGAAAACGATTACGTTTACATTGACGATAATAAGGGTGGTTGGTTGTTGGTCCGTCCTGACGTTCTGAATTCATATTGGGACTTTGTAGTTAGTTGTCAGTCGGACAGTTCAGTTAGCTGATAGTACGTGGAAGTAAAAGGAACCAAAAGATTCGAACCGGATCAAGTGTTGCGGAATAGAAAAAAATTAGATGTAGTTGTTATTTTTTTATCAGAAAAAATATTGAGGTGCACAAATACACTCACGTTTAAATGGAATATGTTTTGGTGTAAATAAATATTCGAAAAGAAATGAAAATGTTTAGAAAACATTAAAAAAAAATAAAAAAATGTTTTAGTTAGAAAAAATTCTTATTGGAATTAATTTTTTGCACTTGTCTTGTTCCCGAAGCGGATAATAATTTTTGTTCGCCCCCAAAAAACACACACATATGTTTGTATGTACATACATAATAGAAGAACAAGCATAAGAAATTATTAAGTAGAAAAAAATCTACGAAGAAAGAGAGGAAGAATACGAGGAGGAGAAGGAGCAGAAAACATAAGGTGGAAAAAAGTAAAACCGCGAAAAGCCACCCCGCACAGAACATCAGAAAAAAACCACAACCCGGTCTAACTTCACCACCCACCCACAAAAACACCCCCCTCCTCCCAAACCGACCCCTCACAACATTCAATGACTCCAGCCATTCATTTCATTTATCGCCAATCCGGAAATTCTGTCTGAATGATTATCGTGTTGCTGTTATTCTTCAAATCCATTTGTCTCTACTGTCAACGTCTGGTTCTGCACATTCACGACCGATGGATAAATCCGAAAAACGTACGCCTCATTAAAGAAGCTGCCGAAGCGAAGGGATCGAAATTCCTTTTGGAAGATTATCGTCAATCCCGTAAATCGAAACGCCGTCGACATACCGGGGGATCCCATACCGCGTCTGGTTATACACCCTCCACAGCTGCCTCCACCGTTCTCAGTTCCTTAGGCACCCGGGCAGAAAATTGTCGTTTTTGTGCCAACACTCCGCAGGGCTATTGTCGTCATCATTTCCATTTGCAGGAACTGCAGGTCCACAAACAACAACAATCAATTTGGTGTCCTCTAAGTGGTGGGCTGCTCAATCGTAGCGTGGAATACAAGCAATTGAGGAAAATCAAGCGTGAACTTAAAAGGACCCTACATCAGCAACAGAGATCGGCAGCCGCATCCGCAGCAGATCAGGCACCGGGCCCATTATATCATTCAATACCACAAGTGGATGCGGAGGAATCCATATATGCGGACATAGGTGACTTGAACTATTCACCATCTTTACAGGATTCGGGGTATCAAAGTATAACGCTAACAAATCAAAACTCAACACCCTCCACTCCGCCGTCAGCACAAGAAGAATATCAGGAAGTAAATCAAGCGGAATTGCAAGAAATTCCGTTACAATCGTCCCAGGAATTTTTGGATTTACCCACACCCAGCGAGTCCTTGGTGGAGACCACCTACAGCTTTGGAACCTGCCCGGAAACGCCACGAACCCCATCACCCTCGCTGCCTAGGGTAACATCACAACAGAGTTTTGTATCCTGCAGTGGTTCATCAATATCGACATCATATTTGTGAGAGGAAAGTAACCAGGGTGAGTAAGTGGTTATATTTTGAATAATCCAATCCAAAGAATATTTTTAAGAGTCCACCTAAGGCGTGGATTTTTTAAAGAACATTTTTCCAAGGGTTCACCTAAGGCGTGGATTATTTAAAGAATATTTTTTCAAGGATCCAACTAAGACGTAGATTTTTTAAAGAATATGTTTTCAAGGGTCCAACAGAGGCGTGGATTTTTTAAAGAATATTTTTTCAAGGGTCCAACTAAGGCGTGGATTTTTTAAAGAATATTTTTTCAAGGGTCCATCTATGGCGTGGATTCTTTAAAAAATATTTTTTCAAGGTTACAATTAAGGCGTGGATTTTCTAAAGATTTTTTGAAAGGTCCACCTAAGGCGTGGATTTTTTAAAGAAGATTTTTTCAAGGGTCCTTCTAAGGCGTGGATTTTTTAAAGAAAATTTTTTCAAAGAATATTTTTTCAAGGGTCCATCTAAGGCGTGGATTTTTAAAGAATATTTTTTCAAGGGTCCACACTTAAGGAGTGGATTTTTTAAAGAATATTTTTTCAAGGGTCCACACTTAAGGAGTGGATTTTTTAAAGAAGATTTTTTCAAGGCTCCATCCAAGGCGTGGATTTTTTAAAGAATATTTTTTCAAGGGTCCATCTAAGGCGTGGATTTTTTTAAAGAATATTTTTTCAAGGGTCCAGCTAAGGCGTGGATTTTTTTAAAGAATATTTTTTCAAGGGTCCAACTAAGGCGTGGATTTTTTAAAGAATATTTTTTCAAGGGTCCATCTAAGGCGTGGATTTTTTAAAGAATATTTTTTCAAGGGTCCATCTAAGGCGTGGATTTTTTAAAGAATATTTTTTCAAGGGTCCATCTAAGGCGTGGATTTTTTAAAGAATATTTTTTCAAGGGTCCACCTAAGGCGTGGATTTTTTAAAGAATATTTTTTCAAGGGTCCATCTAAGGCGTGGATTTTTTAAAGAATATTTTTTCAAGGGTCCATCTAAGGCGTGGATTTTTTAAAGAATATTTTTTCAAGGGTCCATCTAAGGCGTGGATTTTTTAAAGAATATTTTTTCAAGGGTCCACACTTAAGGAGTGGATTTTTTAAAGAAGATTTTTTCAAGGCTCCATCCAAGGCGTGGATTTTTTAAAGAATATTTTTTCAAGGGTCCATCCAAGGCGTGGATTTTTTAAAGAATATTTTTTCAAGGGTCCAGCTAAGGCGTGGATTTTTTTAAAGAATATTTTTTCAAGGGTCCAACTAAGGCGTGGATTTTTTAAAGAATATTTTTTCAAGGGTCCATCTAAGGCGTGGATTTTTTAAAGAATATTTTTTCAAGGGTCCATCTAAGGCGTGGATTTTTTAAAGAATATTTTTTCAAGGGTCCATCTAAGGCGTGGATTTTTTAAAGAATATTTTTTCAAGGGTCCATCTAAGGCGTGGATTTTTTAAAGAATATTTTTTCAAGGGTCCATCTAAGGCGTGGATTTTTTAAAGAATATTTTTTCAAGGGTCCATCTAAGGCGTGGATTTTTTAAAGAATATTTTTTCAAGGGTCCATCTAAGGCGTGGATTTTTTTTCAAGGTTTAAAATAGGCGCGAATTTTTTAAAGATTTTTTCAAGGGTCCATCTAAGGCGTGGATTTTTTTTTCAAGGTTTAAAATAGGCGCGGATTTTTTAAAGAATATTTTTTTTCAAGGTTTAAAATAGGCGCCAAATTACAGCCACCTCGATGGCGGATATGCGCCTATATCATTGAAATTACTGAAAATTGGGATGGGGGTTAGGTTAAAATGTGGACTTTTTTCTGATATGGCCACACTGTCTGCAAAGATGTTCTAACCCAGCCAGTTCGGGACCATTATATGGGAGTCTATGTCAAAATATCGATCAATAGCAGATATTTTCTGCAACAATGTTCTCAACCTCCAATAATCCGGAAAGCCAAATTTTCAGCCACTTCGGAGGGGGCCTATGGCATAAGGGCTATAACTTTCAAAATACCGAAAATTGGGCAGTACCTTTATATGTGCTCAGGATATCTCAGCCGGTGAACCATAGGTGAGCTGGAGAAACCAGTAACACAAACATTGGTAAGCTAGAGGGCTATCGATAAACTTACAGAACCATTACTAAGCTAAAGACACATAGACGAGCTTGAAAACCAAAAATGAGCTGCGGTTCTCTAGGTGACCTGGGTAAACATAGATTAGCTACAAATGAGCTAAAAACCCAAGGTGATCTATTTAACCCTAAATGAGCTAGTCATAGGTGAGCTAGGAAACCATAGCTGAGCTTGTGAACCATAGGTAAGCTAGTGAACTAGTGAACCTTAAGTGAGCTCGGGAATCAGAGGTGAGCTAGGGAAGCATAGGTAAACTAGGGAACCATAAGTGAGCTAGGGAACCATAGGTAAACTAGAGAACCATAGGATATTTATTGGCCCAAAGGTGAGCATGAAAACTATAGGTGAGCTAGTGAACCATAGGCAAGCGCGTGAATCATAGATGAGCTAGTCAACAATAGGTAAGCTAATGAACCAAAGGTGAGCTAGGGAACCATAGATGAGCTAGGGAACCATAGTTGAGCTAGGGAACCATAGGTGAGCTAGGGAGCCATAGGTGAGCTAGGCAACCATAGGTTAGCTAGTGAATCATAGATGAGTTAGTAAACCATTAAGTGAGCTATATAGCTTTAAGTGTGCTACATAACAACAGAGGATCTAGGTGAGTTGATCTATAGAACCGTAGATGAGCGGGAGAACCATAGCTAGAAAACCCTAGGTGAGGTTAAGATCACAAGGCGTACTGGATATGCCAACGAGGACTAGTGATCGATGTAGAACTATAGGCACATAGCTGAGCTAGGATAAAAAGGGTAGGTGAGTTGGCGATCCTTACTTGAGCCATGGAACCATAGAAGTAACAGTAATGTCTGGGCAAAAGCTCTATCTTAAATATTGCGAGCTCTATCGTGAACTCAACAGACAGGCGGACATAGCTAAATCGACATAGAATTTTATTATGACCAAGCATATATATCTTTGAAAAGTATTCATTGAAATAGACACGTCAGTCTAGGCGTTGAACAAATACTGGCCTGTGGTAGGTCTTGAAAAAATAGTCTTTAAATAAGGGCTTCGATTTTTTTAATCTACGACTGGGCCCTAAAAAATATTTTTTTTAAAAAATCAACACCTGAACATTTGTTAATGCAGACCTGAATTAATATTCCTTAAGATATTCACGCATTAGTGGACCTCGAAACACTTATTAAGCCCTTTGAAAAAAAATATCCTTA